ATTTTGTATCAAGAAGTGGAACATATTCATTGCAACGTATCGTTATTGTGAACTTTTTCTCATGTTAATGGGAAAGTGTTCGGCAGCAAAGTTATGCTGATTTAATAGAAAGTTGAAGCTCCAGCATGTATTAATTGTGTGCATGTTCATGATCGTCCTTACAGGTTTACTTCAAAAGAGGCAGTGCCACACGTCTTGAGATGTTCCTCCCCTTGCGGTTCAGCGTTAAGTTTTTAGGCTTTTAACGGTAAAATTCGGGATTGGATTGGGCCTTTGACGATAATTTTTAGGGTTCGATCCTTGCGGATGACACAGCACAGCGAGCTCATTGTGCAGATTTGCGCTTAAAAGCAAGACAGATGTCTCGAGGTGGGTAACGCGCTGAATTCTGTTTATCTTATAGTCAAAATTAAAAGTATAGCTTTCTTGTAACTAAACCGACAGAACAACCATGTTAAAAACATTTACACTTATTATATTATTTTAGATAACTAGTCTAAAATTGTTATTCCAGAATATTGTTGTTTTTCTCTTGTATTTCATTCCCTGCAGGCGAAAATAGCTCTGACATAATTGAGGAAGAGTTGAGTTATGCTTTCTCTAGGACGACCCTTACATTTAAAGATCCTTCTCAATATTTCTGGTTGAAAAAGTCAATATTAATCACTAAAATCCTCTGAAATACAAATATTCAGGAATGATCACAGCCCCGCGAGGATTCACGATGCTAAAAATGTTTGTTTGACTATTTTAGTGTTTCATAATAAAAGTGTCACTAACTTGTTTCCCATTTGCAAGAGTTTTATACATCAGTTTGCTATTAGATTATTCAAAAAAACTAAAGTAGAAGATATATATATATATATATATATATATTATTTTTTCAAACTAAGACAAACAGAAAGTAGGATATATATAGAGATAGATATATAGATACGTTTATTATATATATATATACATATATATATATGCACTTGTAGAATGTGATGTGTTGATTGATGTTTATTATATGTATATATATATATATGCACTTGTAGAATGTGATGTGTTGATTGATGTTTATTATATATATATATATATATGCACTTGTAGAATGTGATGTGTTGATTGATGTTTATTATATATATATATATGCACTTGTAGAATGTGATGTGTTGATTGATGTTTATTATATATATATATATATGCACTT